AAAAAAATCACTTTTATTTAAGTGTCTAGTCGTTCTAGCGCTTTCGCACTAATTGGGGACACTTTTCACTCACACGCACTACCACAACATTTAATATTCTATGCACACAACGCTCAACTCACATGTTGATTTTTATGGAGGGAGGAAACCGGAGAACCCGGAGAAAACCCTCGTAGCATAGGAGAGAATAACACATCAAACAAACTCAATTCACATGTGGCGACTGCAGGGCTCGAACCAGCGACCCGACCCGTTGGACTCACAACGGTGAAAGACGACGCGTTAGCCGCGAACGCCACCCATGCTACCCATAATTTAGAACATGGATGACACACATTTCAACAAAATCACGCAACATCACTTGTGTCAGTACACTATGCTAAGAAATTTGGTCAGTGGTTATAAATTTGTTGCAAGCTGATTGGTTCGAAATTTCAAAATGTTGCACGCAATGTTGCAGTTCTGTTCACACAATGAAATTTGTTGCGTGCAATATTGCAAGAGTAGAGCTCGATTCAACTTGCGTGCAACAAGTTTCAGGGGTAGACACGATGCAACAGTCCTGTTGCGTGCAATGTTGCGCGCAATGTTGCACCGTGTGCCTTAAGCTTAAAGCACTTCCAAAGCTCTAAAAACTTTAAACAAGAAAGGTGACAGAAAATGAAGAGCTACCCCGTCTTGTTCTCACCTCTTTGTCGCCAGTTGTTCCTTCTTGTGCGGCTTTGAGCATCTCAGAGAAAGCTCCAGCCAATCCACGGGCAGCATCTAGCAGTTTGTTACTGTCATCATTATCATCCAGAAGACTGGCAATCATCTTGATTCCCTTTGATAGGTCTTGTAGATTAGCAGTACTGGGTGAAAAAAGATCGACAATTGGATATCCATTAGCTATAATTAGGTAATGATTACTTTACACAGATCAGCAGCAGTGGGGGAAAAAAGATCGACAAATTGGATATCCATTAGCTATAATTAGGTAATGATTACTTTACACACAGGGGCGGATATAGGATTTTGTTCAGAGAGGGGTGCTGCGCACAAAGTTAACCCAGGGAGGGGTGCATCCCGTAGAATCAAAGGGGAAAAACGGTATTGGTTATCTTCAAAGTAGGGGCACAAAATGGAACCAGGGGGGGTGCGCATCCCCTGCACCCCTCCCCTGGGTCTGCCCCTGACACAGATCAGCAGTGCTGGGTGAAAAAAGATTGACGATTGGATAGTGATTAGCTACAATTTGGTATTGATTACTCTACGCAGATTAATCAATTAAGAACTCACATGACATTGACAGCTGCTCCTGCCGCAGTGTAGTTAGTGTCTTCTGGCTCTCCTAAAATAAAACAGCAACAAAAATATGTTAGCGCCGAAACACATGAGCATACTGAATTCTTCAGTCTACTGGTGGGGGGTGGGGTAGGGAAACTTAGAGGTGGGGTATTGGGAGTTTTGTCTAACCTGAGGTAATGTTAACGATGGAGGCACATGACGCGGACAGAGCAGCCAAACGAGAAGCAACATTCTGTCTTGACACATCTAACGTATTCTGCTTCCATTTCAAAGACGCCTAGAAAAAGTGGAAAAAAGATAAGAAATAAATAAACAATCTGAAGGAAATAAAAGAAGTTTATCAGGTGAAGCCGAAGATGATGTCAAAATTTGTCATACCATAGTAATAAATGACACCAAAAATTCTAAAAATTGTTGCCATAGATACCATGTTCATTGGCATGAACTCAAGAGCAATGTACTGTATTGTCGAAAGCTAAGGGAAATATTAAATTATTTAAAGGTTGATGAGTCAACTTAATTTTCATAATATGAATCCAACCTACAAAAGCCTTTTTGTCTCAGAAACAGTTAAGTCATAGATGACATCAAAATTCATGATCATATAGAATCATTGCCATGGTTACACTGATAAGTCAGTTACTGATAGTTAGTCACAGATGACTTCACAAAATTTTGTTGCTATAGCAACAAATATAATTGCCATGGTAACACTGATAAGTCAGTCTTACCGGATCTGAGCCAAGAGCAAGAGCATTGACAGGAGTCTTGAGTTCTTTATCAGCATTATCAATAGAATCAATGCCCTGACTGAGGCTACTCATATAGGCTTGTTGTGCCGGGGTCAAGTTGTGAAGCCTTGCTTGGGATCCCTGTGGTATGGAGAGAAAATAATCACATAGAAGAAAAATTCCTGAGCGCTGTGAAAACATCTCAAGTGCTTTATGCCTTTAAATGCTACGTTGAGGCCATATTTCAGATATGGACCCCATAGGCCTTTTCTTAGTTTGATAATCAGGATGCTTTGTGGTCTAGCTTGGGTACGAACAAACCATATATACCCCTTGCATTGATTTCCTAGAGTAATTATTCTGGGGGACAAAACAGTAGGCTGTCTTTTTTTGTGCAAAAAAAAATTTTGTCCCCCAAATAATTCCTCTTGAGATTCAGTGCAAGGGGTCTATAGTTTTTGTTTGTACCCAACCTAGACCACAATGCACCTCTCAAAAAAGGTCCATTTCTGACTTCTGAGCTTTCATGTGCTACAAAGTACCAATAAGGGTGCCATATTTAGAGGGGCTTAAGTAGCTTAACAGAATTAGGGCCTACCATGGGAGGCCTGTGTGCGGAGTGCGCTGACCCTGACATTGTACCATACTGAGCTGGTTCCATTTTACCCATGCTATATCGTGACGCACCTGGAAGATAAATACAAATTATCTATCAATATAAAATTGTAATCCTTTATGAAAAAAGAGACTGACCAAACCAGTTTGGCCAGTTATGATCAAACAGGAAAAACCTGTTTTGTGCTTGGGTTACTCAGCTCACCTTCTCCTCCTGTTCTTACAACGGCAGGTAATGCGACGGAGCCGACAGATGCGTGACCAACCTTATTGGTCTGTCGGTCCAGATAAGTCCCCCTGTTGGCAAAAACATGACACAGACATATCAGTGATTGCGTGACACTCAGGCTTATGATGGTCATGCAACAGCAAGGAATCAAAAATTTTAATATGAAAGAATTTTAAAAACTATTATGGTATAGAGTTGGGGGTAAAACGTCATCTCGCTTCAGGCTCATTTAGAGGACAAAACAAAAGAATATCAATCTCCTGAGAATTGGAAATCTATTGTTATGTCCTCCAAATTGAGCTGCTTTCTGACATGATGCAATGGCTCTATAATGCATGACTCATGAAATACTTTACAAATTGTCTGTCCTCTTTTATTCTTACTTTGAGGGAGCAACAGAATCTTCCTCCATTGTCGATTCTTCATCGAAATCTGGATCGTATCCTTCTAGACCTTTCCTCTGTTTAATTAAATGAAAAAACAATTCTACCTTTAAGAAACCATAACCTACGCTGAGGGAACGGGGGAAATTCAAATAAAAAAAAGTGGCATCAACATATATGAAAACTTACCTTTTTAAGAATGATGTCGATGTAACCAGCGATAAGCTGTGAGATCTTCTCTCCTTCAATGGTTTGAACTGAGTAATATGACTCGGTGTAGTCTCCAAAATCCTAAACGAGAAAAAAGAGAGAAAATGAAAAATTCCCTCTTTTTTCTGTTACTCTCTCCCTCACTTACACTCCTTCTCAAGGCTAGAGCAGAATCATAACAAAGTATGGCAGCAACGCTAATTGAAACTAACAATTGCAAAGAAATCGAAAAAATGAACGAACGAAATGAACTACACCTGGCAAAACAAAGTGTCAGGCATACACTAAAGTTTGTCATTGCTTTGTAAGTTTAATTGGGGGTCAATCAAGGAGTTAATAACATTCCATAGGCTTGTGCCCTCAAAAACTTTGTGTTTCACAATGATATCATAGAGACAAGTTTGACTAGCATCCACCAATAGCAATGGTTGCTGCAATGTTATTCTGCTCCTGTTATTGAGAAAATGCAATTCAGTCTAAGACATGCAACTTCTGGCGTGCTTTTTGATTGGCCTAAGAGGTAGCCAATGAGATGCTTTTTGATTGACCTAAGAGGTAGCCAATGAAAATTAAGTTATCTATGATATTGAGGTGGTCTTGGGAGAAGACAGACAGACAACTGACCAGAGTAAAGCTGTTTGGAGAAGCTGCCCATCTACGCACTGTCGTTAATGGCCAAGTTTTCATAACCTTGAAAAATAAGAAGAATTATGAAATAAATGTGAAATTTATAGATCATCCATTTGAATACTCCTGCTTTAAATCTGTTGCTCAGTGTTTGCTGTGTTCCAGTGAAGGTCCATGGAATTTCAAAGTGATTGTATTGCTTGAGTTGTGCATTCTTTACTTTACCGACAGTTGGTTTTGGTGAATATTTAGACACTGAAATGAGGCTAACCCTGAATAAATGAGTGTGTGATCAAGGAACACAGCGGTATTTCATGAATTCGTTACAAACCTCTTTTGTTCTCTCATCCACTCTGAGGATGCTTTCCTTTGTGATGCCAAGAAGTCTGGGGACCAGTTTGTTCTTTCCTTTCATTTTTTCCTTTGAAAAAAAAGAATTTTTCCCTCATGATTTTCTGTATAATTTGATTTTATATGTGTTTCTCTTAGGAGTCCAATTAATGTCACACAACACCTACCTTAACGAGGAAGAATGTCACACCATAGGTCTTGAGCCCACGACATAGTTGTACATATTTGTATCTTGCTTGCAATTCGTCCAATCCTGTCAGCTTCCTGTGTTCCTGAATACAACAAATAGAATGTGAATCAATGCTGCTGAAGCTGTTGCTTTTGTTTTTACTGTACTTCTGTTGTTGTTGCTGCTGTTGCTGCAGCTGTTGTTGCTGCTGCTGTTGTTGTTGCTGCTGTTGCTGTTGTAATTGTTGCTGCTACTGTTGTTGTTGCTAAGCTATCATTTTCACTTCAATGCCTAATATCTGTTGTTGGTGTGACTTGCCTTCGGTTGCGGCTCGTTGATTGGACGATCTTGGTCTGTCTTT